TTAAGACATGGAATATCATTTTAAAATTAATGTCTGTATTCTACTCTAGTGATGCTTAGTTGAGCTCAGCTCTCACCATTATTGATGGGATCATCTGAAAATATAATTTACTTGTTTATTTGAACTATAAATGAGAAATTTTCTTTTTTAAAAAAAATTATTTAATTTTATTTATTCATTCATTTATTTTAATTTGACCAGACACACACACACACACACACACAGGGAAACAGAAAGCAAGCCATCAGGTCTGGGACTTGAACTGTGAACAGCTATGTGGGAGTGTCCAGCGCCTTAACCACGACGCCACTTCTGGTCCCATAAATGAGAAATTTTCTAAGAGTCATAGCAGATGTAAATTCTGATTTCTGATCTGAGTTTTCATTTTTTTATTTAACACTGAAATTTGGATGTTTTGATTGATTTTTCAAATCGTGTTTGGGGACCAGCAGGTGGTATAGACTGGAGCCCTGGACGTCCACATGGCCCGCTGTGGTTTGAGTCCCAGACCTGGCGGCTTGAAACTCAGGCTGGGTGCACAGACCCACAGTCCTAGGAGGAGCATGAAGGAAAAGGGATTGTAGTGTGGCCATCTCCCCTTGGGGGGGGTGATTTCTCACTTTACTTCTCTTTGTCTCTCTCTGGTGAGCACACACACCCTATGGCAAAAACCTAAAATAAATAAATAAATTGTGTTTGGATTTACTTTATAAAAACTCACATAATTACTTATCTTAGAATATAATTAAATGTTACAATGCCTAGAAAGTTTTGTTTTCATTTATTTGGCCATTTAGGTGCATTTATTTTTTTCTGTGTCATTCTCCTGTTGCTTAAAAATTTTACTCTTATCAATTTCATTATTTTTCGTCAGTCTTTAAAAATGTCTTGGGACCAGCAGATGGTGTAGCGGTTACATTGCCGGACTCTCACGTGGCTGACCGTGGTTTGAGTCCCGGATCCGATGGCTTCAAAATCATGCTGGGTGCGTGTGCGTGCATGCCCAAGATCCCAGGAGAAGAATGGAGAAGGGAATTTGGCGTGGCCATCCACCTTGGAGGATGATTTCTCGCTTTTTCTCTGTCTCTCTTTGTGACTCTCCAGCAAGTGCACATGCCCTATAGCAAAAATCTCTCGCTCTTAAACAAAAATGTCTTAAATAAGAAGTAATGTTTGGAGAATGTGCTAGCTCATTAGAATTGTAATATTTATAAAGCAATTTTATAAAAAAAAAACTTGATAAGATATAAGGCTGAACCAAGCATTGTTGTTTTAATTTTTCTTTATGTTTGGTATGTAAGAAAATATCCTTTGGGGTATTGATTTGGCATTTGTAAAAAACATGTTATTGTTTATGTTGGGTAGTGAGAATCCATAACAAAGAATGGTTACAGATTATTGTCTAGTTTTTGGCTTATAAGGCTTTGTCCTTGTGATATTTCTCTTCATGGGCACACATGTCATTTCATGCTCACATCACAAGTTAGAATTCACTTAAACTAAGAAAAGCAAATTAATGTGGAGAAGTGTGGAGAGCGCACAAGGGGGCCTCGGACCTTGGGTGGCTTGCATGGACAATGTGGTGGTATCATTTGTGGGCTGAAACATGGCTGTGAACATGTCCCTTTTGGTGTTAGTCCCTTGGGAAGGAAATGGTTTTATAATGGGTTGTGATCTGTCCTCTTAGTAAGAGTGATTGACATAGAGTAAATAGAAGAGAAGAATAAATACCATTCCTTCCCCTTTTAAGGCTGGACACACATACACTGAATGCGGATCTTTTCGGTGGGGATGGCAGTCTGGTCTGATGATAGCACGTATCTAAAAAGCCAGAGAGTTGAATTAACTATGCAGACGAAAATGCAAAGAAATGAAAATGTCCTTTAAGAGAACTATTACAGCCCAAACGTAAGGATAAATGTACATGCAGAGTTGTGATCCAAGTTCCTATCTGTGAAAGTAGAGCCCTGAGCAGTGGCCGTTGGTCAGTGAGTAGGCAAAATGACTCTGAATTGGCCAATGCAACGGACCGCAGTGACTGAGGAAATGGCTGCGTCCGTGGGAGCGCCGGCTTTATTACTGAAGCCTCTAACCTATTTTCTCTCTCTGAAAATGAGCTCCTGAGTGGATGTTCTCCTCCAGGAAGTGAATTTAATTCAAAAGAAGGTATTTTATAGATTGGTAGATTTCATTTAAGAATTCACTTACCCATTATAAAAGGGAACTACGTGGGAAAACATCATTAGTCATTTTTTTTCCTCGAAGATGCCATTTTTGAGAGTGGTATTTTGGGGAGCTGAATTTTAAGTACTAGTAATCGTTATTGTTCATTTTACATGGTCTCTCAGAACATATGGCTGACACGGTATTGAATCTGCATTATGTTTTGTTCATAGATTAAGGTATGTAATTATACAATAAGTAGTTTGTTTAAAACATGTGGTTTCTTGATTTTTTTTCCCCTTTCATTTTTGAAACTGTGATCCATACCTTCGTAAGATGAATACGTGCTATTACAAAGAACTAAAGCCCGTCTTGTGAGTTCGTTATTCTGAAATCTGTAAGGTAATACTGATAACTGGAGAAGTAGGCAGTAATTACCCTAGTTTTTGTCCATTAGAAAGTCACCCTTTGTAACTTACTGCAGAAGGTAAAATACTAAGTATCTAACATACACTACTTAATAGGTTAGTAGTTTAGTAGTCTGTCTGTGAAATATAAAGAAGTACAAGATATTAGGCTTGCTGTTCTCTCACACGCTTACAAGTATAATTAATTATACTTAAATGTTATCATAGCCTTAAACTAATTCTCACGCTTACCACATACTTTGCTATCTCTTTTATTAGGAGAG